CAAAAGTATGCCAGATTGCAGGGTCATTTATTATGCCGGCGACCACAGAGGACTCATGTCTCTCCAACCTGTGGCATTGAAAGGAGGGTGCCAAGACTTTTTATACCCAAAAAACCACCTTGGGAGTGGGGGTGAGGAGCGGGGATGGGGTTGAAAAGGCTTCAGACATTCCGAGGGCTAGTGGATTCTGTAAATCACCTCCTGGGCAGAGATGAGGGTGGGGGTCTCCGGACAGTCCAAGGGCCAGGGGACTTTTGTCATTCCGTTTGTTACTTCAGTGGTTTACAGAAGTCAAGATAAACATTTGTTTACACATTGTCTGGGTAGTGATAGAAGTCACAGGTCTTAGTTACTTATTACAAGTCACAGGAGCCAGGATGGAATTAGCTTGGGCTGCTTATTTTGGTTATTACTGGTAAGCAAAGGCTAGCAATTCTGGCAGTTACGGATAAGAAAAGGTAAGCAGTTTTACATAGTTTGCAGAACAAACTAGCAGTTCTATTTACAGAAGCCAAGGCCAGCAGTTATTGTGAGGAGAATGGGGCAGCCGTTGCAACTTATTTTAAAAACAGTTTGGCATTTTATAAAATGGCGTTGCTCAGGTTCTGGCTCTAGGCTAGCACACTACTGCTCACCGGTGAAGGATGCTGTGGATTTAAAATCAGTTACTGTGGATTTCCGCCACCTTCCCCCCCGCTCCGTTCTGTTACACATCCCTCTGAGAACACAGTCATCTTGCTCCTTTTAGGATAAAGAAACGGGCAGAAGACAACTCCTCCCCTCCCTCTTTAAAAAGGCTCTGCTAGTCTGTCTTTTCTGTCACGGAAGAACCAAACTTTGCAGTGAGCATACATTGCTTATGTGATTAGAAAATTAAGAGTAAGATGGTCCTGACACCTTCATTAAGTCATTTCTACCGTCTTCTCCAAACACCTCATGGCATCGAGTTTCAGAACTCGGCTCTCATTGAGCAGTGTGTGGAGGTGCGAACTTTGCCTGACCTCAGCGTCACTGAACGCTGGTTTTTTCTACAGCATGTGGGTAATGTGCCTGTCCCCAACCCGTGATGTTTGAAAGAACCGATTTATGAAAGGGCTTAGCCTGCTGCCAGACAAGCAGTGCGCCCAAGATGAATGTTTATTGTCATTGGATCTGTCGGGGAAGGAGGTGAGACACCCATGGGTGGTGAGGCGGGGCGGGGAGAACTCGGGCTGTGAACAGCAGTGCTCAAGCTGTGACAGAGCAAGCTGGGAATCTGCCCGGCCGGGTTTCATTCAGTCTTCCACATCTCACATGGGTACTGTCATCAGTTATACCTGTGACTGTTTTTTAAGAAACAAAACTATTTTATCATTCTGCTTTAAAGATGGCCGAGAGAAAAGATGCCATTCTAGAATGTTTAAATTCAAGCTGAGGAACTTACTAGCCACGTGACTAAGCAAGTTATGGTTCCATCTTTCTAGGCTTCAGTTCCTTCTCTGTAAGGCAGGCCTCAGCATAATGTGAGCGTGAATCTGAGGAACCCAGTGTTGCCGGAGAAAGGTCTGATCCAGACCCCAAGACAGGGTTCTTGGATCTTGGGTAGGGAGGAAAGTGGGGCAGTCACAGAGTGCAGTGAGAGGGAGCTTCTCCGATACAGAGCGGGGCGCCCGCGGAAAGCAATTGGAGGAACGCGCTGTCTTTGTTGCAAAGACATCTTGTATCTATGTAAAAGCTGAGCCACATGTAAGTGCAGGTGGCCTGACAGTGTGACAAAATCTAGCACTTGGTGGATGTAAAGAAAGTTATCCTTGGCATTTCAGTGAGTACCTACATCCAAACATGACTATAACAATCTTATTTTTGGGGTTCTTTTTTTTTTTGAGATGGCAGCTGGAGCACAGTGACACGAAAGCTCACTGCAACCTCCACCTCCTGAGTTCAAGCGATTCTCCTGCCTCAGCCTCCCAAGTAGCTGGGACTACAGGCTAATGTAACTGCCAAACGGGTTCACGTTACCTTCTGCCTAGACAGAACTGATTTATCAAAACAGGTGAATTGCATAAGAGAGAGAATAATTCACACAGAGCTGGCTTTGCGGGAGACCAGACTTTTATTATTAATCAAATCAATGTCCTCAAGAATTCGGAGTTCAGAGTTTTTTTTGTTTTTTTTTTTTTTTTTTTTTTTTTTTTTTTTGGTTGCCTCCCCTGTCGGCCGTGGATGGGTGAAATGGGG